CCCCCATTTATTAAATAACTGATAGACCAGTTATTTTAGCCCATCTCAGATCTCAAAATGCATGCTTCTGGTGCTTCTCTAGATCTGAGAGTTGGCTTTGTCAGTAACCTGGGAAGAGAAATGTATGCTTAGGGTCACCTAGATAATTCGTTGCCCACATCTCAGGAAAGACTTAGCTTGGGGTTTAATGAAAAGGACTCCATACTAGCTAGAATAAGGAGAGCATTTCTGGGATACAATTTTAGAAAACAAAGATGAGGTAGAAGGCTGATTTTTGTGGTTTCCAGCCAGACCTGAAGCTGCATTTTCATGGGAACTGTCAGATTGTTTTTTTGCTAAGATCTAGCTGAGATGATTTGGGCATTGAGGCTGTGAGAGTATTGAAGAGGGAGAAGAGAGGAGATGCTTACTGAGTATAAGAAACTCTGGCCAACTCACGGGCACCAGATAGCTGGCCTAATCGAGGAGAGGGATGAGGAAGAAGGTGTTTTAACTTTTACTGAGTTCTTACCTCAAGCCTTCTTGTTCTGCCAACTCAGAAATCATTTAAAAAACTGTTAACTCATTTATTCAAAAATAATTTGTTTATTAATAAATTTTGAATAAGTATGAACCCAGCATTGTGTTCGGTGCTATAGATAATTCAGCTTTTCTCTTAAGAGGTCCCATTAGTTCAATAATAATTTGATGTGCAGGTATTAGGGTAGCATAAGGGGAGGAAGGGAGTAATGGAGAAGGAAGACTTCTCAGAGGAAGCCAACTTGAGCTGAGTCTTGGTTGAATTGGTTTTAGGTAAACGAGGGGTGAGGATAGGGGAGTGGTCCAAGCAAATAAATTAATCCATTCCAAGGTAGGGGTGTTTCATAGAAGCCTTTGACACATTGTGCTTATTCAGACAACTGTGAGTACTTAAGCACTGCTGGGTGACAGGACATGAGTATGGAATGAAGTAAATGGGATGGATTTTGATTAAGTTCGGCAGGGAATTTGGACATTGGGTTATAGGTCATCAGCCATTAAAGGTTTTGATGATGCAAGATCGATTGATTGATTGGTGCAGAGGGAAGTGACAGAGCGATCTGGTAGGAAGTTGCTATTGGAATCCGGATGAGAGATTGAAAAAAGGTGGGTGTGGGGCAAAAAGGGAATGAATTCAGGAAAAATTTGATTCTTAATGAGGATGGGAGTATGTTTTTCGAAATTATCTGAGAAACATTTTGGGGATATATGTACATGGTTCCCCTCCTGCCCTCGCCAGTTGGAGAAATACCAGTTTAGAAAGTGAAATAAATAGGCTTTGGGTATGTAAGGTGAAGAAGAAAGAGTTTAGTAGGACTCCAGCCAGAAGCTTAGGTGGTGGGAATAAAGATGCCAGCATCTGAGAGGGAAGATGGAGAAGTGCTGGTTTTAAGGGATAGATGGCAAGTTCTGTTTTGGATTTGTTTAAGGGCCACATGGGATCACCATGTGAAGAAGGCAAATATAAGGGGCTAAATCATTACAGGCAGGGAATCTTTACAATCTTGGGAGTAGATAAACTTGCTCAGGGAACAGGTACAGTGCTGGGAGAGTATAGGATCCAGGGCCTCAGCTTTCTGTTGCAACTTCTCAACTCTGCTATTGCAGTGTGAAAGCAGTTATAGACAGTACATAAAGGAATGGGCATAGCGGTGTTCCAATAAAAGTTGCTTCGTTAAAGCAGACATGCTGTAGTTTTTTGATCTCTGCTGTAACCCCATCACTACTGTCTGATCCCATTGGAGAAGTTCTCTTGCTTCACTCCTTGGTTCTTTACCTCTGTGTGGAAACTTGTGGATAAAAAGCCTAGGAGTGTGCACCAGGATAAGCACTGCCGTTTGTACCCAGCAGCAAGGCTGTGAGGGACTATAGTACTTGGATGTTCCCATGCACAGCAGATAGGAAATGGCTGTGCTGGCCCATAATTTATAGAAATTCTGAACAGCCCCACTTCATCAGAATCAGATCAATGGCAGGAGGGAAGTATTGGGTCCTGGCTCTGGCCAGTGCTTTCAGGGACATCTCTGTAATACCCGTTGCAGGTGGATGTCAGATCCTACCTCCAGGAACAGTGGGGCTGCATTGTTTGAGCAGCACGGACTTTATATTTTATATAAGAGAAGCATTATGATTTAGAAAGAACATTAGCCTGGAAAGTAGACACCCTATGTTCTAATTTTGGCCTCTGCCACTAGGGGAAGTCTCAGTCTCTGCCTCTGTGAGGGTTGAATTCTATAATCTACAATCCCTTCCACCACTGATGGAGATTAGATATGTTTAGTGGATTTGAATTCTTACAATCAGAATTTTATTCCCAGCTCTTGTCTTGAGTTTTGTGTTTTGTTATTCATAGATATTTTGTGTAAATTCTTCATGTTTCATTCTTGTTACTTGTAAAGTGGGGATTGCTGACTGCTGTCAAGGGAATTTGAAATATATATGATGGCAGTAAAGCTCTTTCTAAAATAAGGGCATTTCAAATTCTTCAAAATCACTGCAGCATATAATGTGGAACGTAGGTTTTTCAAATATCGACTGCTGGTTAATTTATTGAGAGGTCTCAGAGGAGCCAAATAATTTCTAGTCCCTAAATTCTTGAAGAATAGCAATGAAATTGCTTTTATTTTATTTCATTTAGCTTACTGATTGTCTTGCCTTTTCTCAATCAATTGTTCTCTAGGCAAGTTTATCACCGTTGGGTGGGGCAGGAAAGAGACACAGTTCCATGGATCAGAAGGCAGGCAAGCGGCCTTTCAGATGCAAATGGTAAAGTTGGTCTGCTGGATACAGAAACTCTCCATTGGGACAAATAGAAGTTCTGCCACCCACGAAGAACCCTTAAGTGTCTGATTAGAGGCTAATAATGGACAGATCACTTCTGCTTCAGTAAAACTAAAGTTGTACAGAAAACCTCAGAAAATGAATCATCCTAGAGAGATCCTTTTTTCTTTTTTAGTGCCAAGTTGTTTCATCACTTTTTTCAGTGTAGAGAATAATTAAAACAAATATTGTTTAAAAAATAAATCATCATGGGGAGAAATGAAACCCTCTGGATAATCTCTTCCTGATGCACAGAAAGACCTGCTGTCCTACATTCACTGTTGATCATTCACATGCATGTTTTCATATTTTTCCTACATATGTAGATATTAGATTCTTTTTTCTGATTTTTCCTCTTGGTTAAAACTCTTTTGTTTTCTTTCTTTCTTACATTTTGAAGATAGAGCTATAGGATTTATTGACAAAAGATCAGATACGGGCTGTGAGAGAGAAGAATTGAGGATGGTCCCAAGATTTAGAACTGAATGAATGAAAGCATTGTGTAGAAATTTCCATGAGCTGCCCTTCTAGGATAAATGAATCAATAATACACTGCCATTTACATTTTCTGTCCTTAATTATTTCTAGCTACATTCCAGGTAACTCATATTTCACCTCTTGACTCTTTCCTAGAAGAAATTTGTGTTCTATGCCATAGAGCAGTTTCGTTGAGACCAAATTTTATTAGGCTGCCAGTGTGTTCCCTGTTGTGCAGGCTGTGCCACTAGCATCATTTTGACTTAGCCTGTCACTACAGTGTGATGATGGACGCTCAGGTGGATTTGTCCTCAATCCTGCAGACTTGGCTTCTGTCTTTAAAACTTCAGGATTGATATGCAAGTGGCACTGGAGACCTTTCTCCCTCCTGTACTCAGAGCTCAGAAGTCTTATGTGCCTTCATCACTACTGCTGCCTTTATTACTCTGGCTCCACCCTGCCCACCTTCCTCTCACCTCCTTAACTGTTCTGTACACTGTTGTGAGGCCTACGCAATAAGTAAAATTCTACCCTCTTATACTTAGGCAAACTGAACATTTATTTCTTTATTACCTGATAGATTCCTCGGCTCACTATTTTTAATATTTAGATCTGCAGGTCTTTTCCTGTGTTGCTATGCTTGGAGGCCACTTTTTTTTTTTTAATAATACCTGGAGAAGGATTTTTTGGTTTAAGTTCTTTTTTTTTTTTTTTTGATGATTTCTGGGCCTAAGAGTCCTTTTATTAGAAGAGTAAGGATTCTTTGAAGTTGGTTTTCCAGATAGCGTAAATCTTGTATACAAGATTTAAATTTAATAGCCTGAGACTTGTTTGGTTCTGGGCCATGTAAGGCCCCCAGTAACATTTGTGTTTCTTCCTCTCTTTAGCATGAGTCTGCTTTGCCCTGGGATGACCATAAACCACAAGTTACTTGGCGTGGTGATGGGCAGTTTTTTGCTGTGAGTGTTGTTTGCCCAGAGACAGGTATGGAAGTAAATTGCAGTTAAAAAAAGTTTTTATCTTCTTAAGTTCAGGAAAGTTTTCTCTTTTTTTGCACTAAGGATTTTCTTTTATTATACATATGAGATAAAGATATGCTGCTTTAGATGTTAAATGAATTTAGAGCTAAGAATGAGAAGAGTTCTTTGAGGCTGTCTAGTCTAGACTCCTACCCATTGGCTGCAAATTTTTAACAAGATTAATCTGTAATTGGCTTTGTAAGACCACAGTGGTTTTTATTAATAAGGAAGGTATTTGTAAAGTTTCGACTTGACAACATTTATCATAATGCTTTATGTTTTTCTTTTTGGTTTCTTTCCCCTCTACCTACTGCTTAGGGGCACGGAAGGTCAGAGTGTGGAACCGAGAATTTGCCTTACAGTCAACCAGCGAGCCGGTGGCAGGGCTGGGTCCAGCTCTGGCTTGGAAGTGAGTGGTAGAAGAAATCTTTAACTCCTTCCTCAGAATTTTTTGGAACTGGGCTAAGGATTGTGGTACCTGTTGAATATGTGTTTATGTAACAGGAACAATAATTACTTTTCCTCATTTGGCTATAAGCCTGTATCTTTCTTTTTAGTTCCCTGAAGTCTGACTTGAATAGTAGATTCTGAGCTTCTTCACAGATGTTATCATTCCAAGGCCCACACATTTTGTAGATTATAGGCAGGGCCTACACCAAGCCATTGTATGGAAAATGGTGCTTGGGAGGGAAGTCACAGTCTGCACAGCTCTGTGGGGCAGTGGAGCTTCAGTGAGGACTGGGAAAAGGGCTTCCTTCCTCTGCACAGACTCCCACGCTCGGGTGTCTGTCTGCTGAGGCCCATGCAGGCTGGATTCAGGCCTGATTCAGCTCTTGGCCCAGGACTCTTGTGCTGGTCACAACCTGCCTGTGATATGTGGCTTCCCTAATTATGGATAGAAATATCTCTGTCTCAGTAGCATCTGTTATATGCAGAACCACTTAATCTCTAGGTTTTAGACATCTTGTTTCCTGCCAGTATCTGAGTGGCAGTTGGATGATAGAGCAGAAAGAAAAGCGTATTTGAATTAAAACTCTGGAGATAAATATAAACAAGATGAAACAAGGTGTTTTCAGTAGATTGAGAAGTCTTTAAAAATAACTACCTGAACATAGAATATTTGCTGAAGTTATCTAATTGAAGGAGAAATAGCTTATGGTTTTATAGGACAGTATACTTAGAATGTTTTAAATAATTATTGATTTTTTTAAAAAGTCACCCAAGCGCATCTAAATTTGTGACTCTGTGCAAATTAGGAAGTCACTTTTCTCATACTAGGATCCATAGTCCCATACTAGGATCCATAGTCCCATACTAGGATCACCGTTGACCAGGAGACAGGTGGGATTTAAAACTGCCTTGGATGAGGTTTTTTGATTTTGCTGAAAAAATTCATTTCTCCGAATTTCAACTTATTCTTAGCCAGCTGGATGCTCTGTTGGACCTTTTTTTTTAAAAAAAAAATTTAAACACTCTGGGTTTGCTTTAAGGCCTTCAGGCAGTTTGATTGCCTCTACACAAGATAAACCCAACCAGCAGGATGTTGTGTTTTTTGAGAAAAATGGACTTCTTCATGGACATTTTACACTTCCCTTCCTCAAAGATGAGGTTAAGGTAGGTGCCTGAGTTGTTTAATCATTAAGCTTAGAGGACTTCCTACAGCTATAGAGAAGGTGTATATTTGATATGGATATAGAAATAGAACCTCCAGAGTAGATGATAGTAAAAATAGTGGCTTCTTATAACTGAGTTGTTTTACTTACAACTTTCTTAAGGAGATTTTGTAAAAAAGAAATGGTTGTTCTTCTCTACCCTAAGTAAAACCCAGGCACAAAATAGAAATGTTAGTTTTTAATGTTTATTTTGACAAAAGTATAATTCTTCCAGTGATAAAAATACTTTTCACTTGTAACATTTAAACCTTAAGCAGCTCATGTACCATTAGGATTTTTGATGACCTATCACTTGCAAAATTTACCAATATTTTGCAAAATTATTTTCGTCTACCACTTACACATTTTTATTTTATTTCCTAGGGTTTTAATTCTAGAAATCATTTTAAAATTTCATTTCTAACAATGTTTTTCTTTAAATAACCATAATTTCATTATCACATCTTACAAAATTAGTAATAATTCTTTAGTATTATCTTATACCCAGTCCATGTTCAAATTTCCCTGATTATCTAAAAATGTCACTTTGCATTTGGTTAAGTCTCTTAAACTTTTAAATATAATGCATTTTTTTGACATCGCTGCATATAACGACATACAGATTTGTTTAATGACTCTGAAGGTTAGTAATTTACAGCTAGGAGTCAGCTCAAGTAGTGGGATTATTTGGTTTGTGAGAGCAGGGGATTCAGCTATTATAAAGATTTTGAAGTAAATACATAGTTAAAGGACAATGACAGATATTTTTCTCTATCAGGTAAATGACCTGCTCTGGAATGCGGATTCCACTGTGCTTGCAGTTTGGTTGGAAGACCTTCAGAGGGAAGAAAATTCCACTCTAAAAACCTATGGTAAAACACCTGTATTGTGTCAGCCTTTTGCCCCATAAAGTGTAGTTGAAAATAGAAGATGTGGAGTTGCCCTTATCCCTTCTACTTAGTCCTGTAGTGGAATCAAAGATGGCGCGGGGTTGGGGGTAGGTGGAGATGGGGGCGCAGTTAGGTTTTAATTATTTAAGGATTTAAGTTATGTATCAGTCATGGTTCTTTAGAGAAACAGTGTCAGAGTAGACCAGCAGACTGGAAATTCAGATAGGAGTCGTTTCAGTCTTAAGTCTGAAATTTATAGGACAGGCCTGCAGTCTGCAGACAGGCAGGATTCTGTTACAGTTTTGAGGTAGAATTCTTTTTTTCTCTAGGAAACCTTTGTTCTTAATGCCTTTAACTCAGATGAGACACCTCCCCCCACCCCACCTCCCCGCCACACACATTATGCACATTATGGAAGATAATCTGCTTTACTTTAAGTCAACCAATTGTAAATGTCAGTCACATCTACAAAATACTTTCTCAGCAATATCTAGACCACTGTTTGATCAGATAACCTGGCACCATAGCCTAGCCAAAGTTGACATATAAAATTGACCATTACAGGTCATCAGTACTTTCTTTTCTTAGATGATGTAACTATAGAAAATCAAAACACTAGCCAAAGGAATGCTACTGTGAACATGAAAGAGAAATTGAATTAGATATAAGAATCTTCTCTCCATCTTTTAAATTAATGTAAATAGATATTTTTAGTGTATACATAATAGGTGAAAACATTAGAAAATAAAGATAAGAAAAAAATTAATTCATAATTCTGTCACCCTGAAATCGCTATCAAAATTTTCTCATCTTTCAGATTTTATATATATCTTAGTATAGCTATGATCTCATTTTTGTTGGGTATATGGTTATGATACATGCAGTTTTGTAACTTGCTTTTCCACTGTCACAAATATATTTCTATTTCAGATATCTATCTGCCTGATTGTAAATTGTGTAATATTTACTTGTGTCACAATTTATTAAATCCCATTCTGTTAGACATTTAAAGTTTTATAATTTTTCACGATCAGCAGCAATACACTGAACTTTTTTGTTTATAAATCTTTCCACTTGCTTGATTATTTCTAAGTGGCTTTTAAAACTTTTTAATCAGTAGAACTTTAACTCAAATGTTATTCATTCAAATGTTATTCATTCATTCATTCATTCATTCATTCAACCCAATGGTTCTCAACCCTGGCTGCACCTTTAGGAAAAAAAAGCACTTTCCAGGTCTCATCTCATTGCATTCATTGTGTTGGAATGGGGACTATACATCAGCATTTTAGTTTTTTTTTTGAAAGGCTCCCAGATGATTTTTAAGATGCAGCCAGAGTTGAGAACCACTGATTGATTAACTAGGGTGTCAGAGGCCAGCACTGTGATATGCTCAGGCTATATGTTGTACGAGAAGAGCCACAACACATCTTCCTGGAGCCTGAGCACGTGGTCTAACTTACCCACTCACAGCCAGGTAGAAGTATTGCACTAGCCTGGTTAGAAAACTAGGTTAGATTTGCTGTGATCACTGAATTAAGAATAAGGAAGCAGGAGAATATATATTTAAAGAAAAGAAATTCCTTAATGTAATCAATATCTTCACTTATGTGTGTCATCTGTTTAATAAAGGTGGTTTTATAGGATTTTTTTAAACTTTATTGAGATATAATTGACATGTAACATTGTGTAAGTTTAAGATAAACGGTGTGTGATTTGATACATGTATACATATTGTGAAATGTTTACCACAGCAAGGTTAGTTAACGGATTCTTCACTTCACATAATTACCATTTTTGTTCTTATGGTGAGAACATTGAAGATCAACTCTCATAGCAGCTTTCAAGTATACAATGCCATATTGCTAGCTGTAGTCACCATGCTGTACATTAGATTTCTAGGACTTATAACTGAAAGTTTGTACCCTTTGACCAACATCTTCCCATTTCTCCCACCCCCCACCCCCAAGGTTAGGTTTTGTTGTTTTACTAAATGCTAGAAAAGATAATTGCTGGCCAGTCTCCCTTGGATAGCTGAATCACACACAGTTAATACCAGGTAGCCTAGTATAATTGCATGCTAAGCACCTAGAAGAAAAGGCTAAGCATCTTAAGCTTAATAGAACATAGCAATGCTAGTCCAGTACTCTTGGATTGAGTGTTTTAATACTTTTAATCTAATTATCACTTTTATTCTTTCTAAATCTTTATGGGAAAAAAAGCCAGTTCACTAAAACACTGTCTTGCACTAGCAGCCTATTATTTTCATGATCATAAAGTTTGAAGGTAGAGGCAAAAATAAGCTTGTGCTTCTGACCTTATCAATGCTTGACATTTTATCTCCATGGAAAAGTACCTTTTGATAATTATTACTGTTAATGTTATTTTAATGGATAGGCTGAGCAGGAAGGGTCATTTGAGAAAGAAAAGGCTGCCTCCATCCCCCTCTAGCAAATGGTGTGAAGTTGAGGGCCTTCCTTTCATTTTCCCTTGCAGTTCAGCTCTGGACTGTTGGAAACTATCACTGGTATCTCAAGCAAAGTCTGCCCTTCAGCGCCTGTGGGAAGAGCAAAATTGTGTCTCTGATGTGGGACCCGGTGACCCCATACCGGCTGCATGTTCTCTGTCAGGGCTGGCATTACCTCTGCTATGACTGGCACTGGACGACTGACAGGAGCTCGGGAGAGAATTCAAGTGACATGGCAAATGTGGCTGTCATCGACGGAAGTAAGCAACTGGAAGAGGTGTTTATGAGCCTGCAAGGGGTCCTGAGCCCAGTGCCTACAGATGTGGTGGTTTGACTGAAACAATGGGGATTTTTTGTTTTATTGGTTGATTTGGTTGTTTGGTTTATTTTTACTTATTTGTTGTTTTGTTTTGTTTGGATGGGAATTCCCATACGTGGGGCATGTACTCTCCCAAGAATCATAGTCCCTCCTCCCACCGCCACCCACCCCATTTTTCTGTTGTGCTTTGTCCATGGCCTTCACATGTTTACTAATCCAGCCTTTGAAGACATTGAAAATTTTGACCCTGGATACAGGAGACACAGTAGTATTGTGCCATTGGATGTCTTAGCCTTGTCTTTTCCCCTGACATAAATTTACATTGACCTTCGTACCACTCTACTTGTGTTGCTTTGTTTTCTGATAAAATACTTATCAATTACATACCTGTCCAATATATTCAGTTCAAGTTACAAGATTTCTGTCTAGTATGAAGATTGGCTTGGTGTTTTATAATTAGGTTGAGGATTTTGTTGTTGTTTTTATTTTTGGTGAGGGAGAGGAAATTGGGGGTGGGGGGAAGTTGTCATCTGAATAGACAGTTTACTTATTTTCAATAACAGAAAGGAAAACTTGCTTCTAAGATTATAATGCGAGTTGGTGTACTAATTCATGTTCTATAAAATGGTCATAATACTGATTTTACAATCTCATGTTTTGTATAGAAGACTTATGTATGTGTTATTACCAAATCCATGCATAGGGAAACGCTTTAAGGATTTTGAAGATATTAATTCCCTTACTTTAGTCTGACTTGGTTGCAGGCCCTGTTTTAAAGCTAGAACTCTGACCTTTTGGCCTTCTTCCTCTAGCCCCTGGTACCTGAAACCTCTAAGTCCAGAGATGGACTTTTCTAGGCCTGGAGGTGACAGTAGCCAGAGAGGGGCAGAGTCCATGATACTTACTTTTCCCTCTTACACTATATTTAAGCTTATTCATGGTAAAAACACCAAAAATTATTTTTAAGAATTGCTGTATATTTTTTACCACCATTATTAGTTAGTGGTACTGTGCTGTTCACATGCCTTTTTTTGCAAATTGAACATCCATGTATCTAATCCTCCTCCTCTTTCTCTCTCACGTGCAGACAGGGTATTGGTGACAGTCTTCCGGCAGAGTATAGTTCCACCTCCCATGTGCACCTACCGACTGCTGCTCCCACACCCTGCGAATCAAGTTATGTTTTTTTCACACCCTAAAAAGAGTAACGACCTCGCCATCCTAGATGCCAGTAACCAGGTTTCTGTTTATAAATGTGGTATGTTCAAAACTGTTATCAAGATGTTCTGAATCGAGTCCCTCCCACAGAAAGCAAATTATAGTTTGGTGTTGTCTTAGCTCTAGTGTTTCTAAAAATTTTTAAGTTTATAATTAATATCTTTATCATTATGATATTTAATTCGTTTATGGGTATTTTTTTGTTTCGTGGGGGTTCAATCCTACTCTGGCTTATAAGACTTATTTCTTTAGTTTTATTAAACTTGAAAATTCAGTTATGAATAACATTCAACTCTGGAAATAAGATGCTATCTGGTTATATCTTTTACATATTTCACAATTTTCATTGCCTTTGCACGTATTTTCAGTTGATCTCAGAGCCTTTTTAGGAGCTGTGTCCCAGATGGAGTTTTCTTTTTCCATAGATGAGGGAACAGAATGCCAGAGGGTTTGAAATTTGCTTGAGCAAGGTGGACAGAGATTCCAACTTAGGTGTTCTGGCTTCTAGTCCAGTTGTCTTCCATGTTTCATTGCTCTTAGTTTCTAGTTGCTTTCCTGAAGTGCTGGAAAAACCTGAAACTTGTTCTTAGTTGTAAGTTCTGTGGTGCTGTCATAAATTACACTGGAATGTGGAAATGGTGGCCTTATTTTCAAATAATTTTTGAATTCTCAGTTAGGAAGAACCTAGATAGCTGCTGGGAGAGAATAATCAAAATTAATTAATTCATGTTGGAATTCCCTACTTATCATTTTTTTTGTTAATTCAACAACCTACTGTTTATACTAATACGACAATTTTCGTTCGGTATTGTTTTGTTATGATGTTTACAAGAAGACATAGGAACTTAACTCTTGTGTATATCAATTAGCATATGATAAAATTGATTTTGTTATACATTGTTTTGCTTAAAGTTACAGAACCCATCAGTGATGTTAACTGAGGACTTACTGTATTTGGATATGTTACCAGCTTCTCTGGTTTTAGTTTTGTTCTATAAAATGCTATAACAGTCTTCCTTAAGTTTCTTTTTTAATGCTTTAAAAAATAATAATAATGTGTTCATTGTCTAGGCAAATCATAAAACAAAAATTAACTACTTTTCAAAGTAGATTTTCTATCAATCAGTGATATTAAAAGTAAACAGTGATTGTCTCTGTACTCTACTACTATTTGGGTATCTTGCTGCTGGTTTTGTGAGGTTAAAAAGGATCAGATGTTAGAATAAGTTTTTGTATATCACTTTACAATGTATGGGATATTTTGTCCTACATTCACTTAAAAAAACTTTATTGAGTTCATACCATTCACCCATTTAAAGTGTACAATTCTGTGGTTTTTAGTATATTCACAGAGTTTTGCAGCCATTGTCATCGTATTCAATTTTAGAACATATTCATCTTCCCAAATGAAACCCTGTACCATCCTACATTCACTGTACTGATACTTACAACTCCCTGTGATGAGATAGGGCATGCTGAGAGCTCCGCTTTTGGAAGCTTGGTTGGCGTCAGTATGTGGGGTGAGCCATGGATGTGAGCATCTGAAGGCAAAGATACCAGTTAGGCTGTTGCAGAGTGACTAGGTAGGAGATGATGAGCACATTAGTCTGTAGAAATGGAAAGAAGAGAAAGATCATACAAATCCCAGAACTGAAAGCCTCTGAGAAGTTAAAGAGCGTGTTGCAGAAAGTTTGGATATAAGAGGGTCCGGGAAAAGGTGGGAGTCTTTATTAGAGCATAGGACTTAGAGATTAGCATCTCAGACATGGAGTAATTTCAGGAGATGGCCCTGGTGTGGATAGCTCATGTGGAGTTGAAGTTGTTGAATGCCAGCATTGGGCACCTGCCCAGAGAGCATAGTGAGAGGGCAGATTGGTAAGAGATTCAAGAGTGCTAGTGTAGAAACAGTGGACGTCAGCTTCCGGGTCGTGCAGGGAGTCAAGTGAATGTTGAGGAATAATACATTTTATTGAGAAGAAGAGGAATGAGAAGAAGAAAGATTGGAAGTTGGGGTCACAGTCAGAATATTCCAGTTTGAGATCTCAGTGGACAGGTCAGACTATTAATAAGGGCCCAGTGCCTAAGCAGAAGCAGAAGAGAAAGAGCTCTCGTTACAGATGAACAACTTGGACATGAGTAGTGGACATTAGAGTTGAGTAGAAACAAATTAGATGTGAAAATTTTCAAAGGTGGCATTCGATGTCTCTTTAGTATTGCTCCTTTTTTTCCCCATCCATGTTTATTGATTATCTGTTAACGTGCCAGGTGTTTTCCTACTCCGTGCCTTTGTGGAGTCTGTCTTCTAGTTGGGGAGAAAGCTAGTAAATAAACACAAGAGGATAGGTGCCAGTAGGGTAAGGTGTCTTTGTATTTAGGGTGGCCACGGAGACTCTCTGTGAAGGTGACATTTAAGCAGAGACTGAGTGGGAATTGGAGAGGGAGCCATGCAAACACCTGGGGTAAGAACATTCCAGGTAGAGTACCAAGCACTGCAAAGCACTTGTTGTATGTAGGAAATAGCCAGGAGTGTAGGGTGGCTGCAGCAGAGCAAGTGAGAGGAGAGTGGTGGGTGGGGTCATAGAGGTGACCCCACAGGGAATAACTCTTGTCAGGCCTTGAAGGCTCTGGGAAGATGTTAGTGTTTATTCTGCATGAGACAGGAAGCCACTGGAGAGTTTGGAACAGAGAGTATGGTATTCTGGATTAATTTTTTAAAGGATTGTATTGGCTGCTGTGTGGTAAATAAACTGGATCAAGAATGGAAAAAGAATGTCTTTCTATCAAGGAAGCAAGTTTGTCGAGAGATCATTGTGGAACAGTGAGAGGAACTAGCACTGGGGCGCGAGGGCAGCCCTTCGGCCTGGTCTTGCTGAGACTTGGTGAGGATTGTGACTGGTGTAGTAGGAAGGAGAACGCAGATTTGGGTTATGCCTAAAAGGTAGACAGAGATTGAAAAGAGATTAAGATGTTATTTTCAATTGCCTTATTTGTAAAGTGGTTTACCTTCTAGAACCCACCAAATGCAGGACCCCATAACCTTAATATTATGAGAAACGTCTGCAGTTTACTATGATAGTATTTGCATTTTTGTTTTCTAGATGACAGTCCAAGTGTGGACCCTACGGTGAGACTGGGAGCTGTGGGTGGAAATGGATTTAAAGTTTCCCTTAGAACTCCTCATCTAGAAAAGAGATACAAGTAGGTGGTTCTTAATTATCTTGGACCTGGGCATAGAAGCAGCCAGCATTTAGTCCTAACTTCACCCACCTGTTGTCCTGCGTCTGTTGCTGAGTGGAAGAAGTAGGTACAATACTCAGGCCCAGGTTTTTCAGCCTCATTAGGGAAGCCAGTTGCCTGTATATCTGAATGCCACATATGCTGAGGGGTGGCAGGAGAGCACAGGTCATAAACCAGCCTAAAACCCATTCCTTGCAATAGCCTTTAGAGATGAAGATGATGGGGCAGAGTTGCGTTCGCTTACATAAATGAGGATATCTAAGTTGTTAACATATGGCTGACCTACCAGATCTTCACCGCATACTCCAAAACTAATGGGTGCTCTGTTTTGAGGCTTGCAGGTTGGAAATCAGAATGCATTTTCCCATTGAAACAATATTATAAGTGGTTGGGTATAATTGAATACTTCAGGTACTCTATAGGCATTGTAAAATGACCCAGAGGCCAAACTATTAATTATAATGCCACTTCTGTGAGAATCCAGGATTTGAGTCTACTCTATTTGATAAGCCCGTGTTCTTAATTATTGCAGTATTCTACCTCCTGGGAGCATATATTCCTAAATTAATAGGAATAATGAACTGTATAGAGCAAATAGAATTTAATAATGTTTTTCTTAAATATATGCAGTATGTTTTATAATTATACCATGTGTGATTTGCCTCTATGATGCTTAGCGGTCTTCACAGAACATTTATGTGGATGATTTCGTTCCATAGGCTTGGAACCATTGGGACAGAGTTAAGGCAAATTAAAAAGTGCGAGGCAATTTAGAATATAGCTCCATTTTTTAAAAATTGAGAGGCTAGCTTTAAGTTCTTTAAAGAAATCGCATGAAGGACATGAGTACTTACCTTGATTCTTGAAGGGCTAGGGTTAGGACTAGTAGAGAAAGATTGGGAACATTGGGTCTGGCGGGCAGAGGAGTGTTGATGAGGAGCAGAGCTGGGAAAGCTCCTGTGTGGGGCTGAATGCAGTGGAGAGACTGAGTCCTGGGAGAGCTGGTTGAGGAGGAAGATCAGGTTAGTGACCCAACTTCTTCAATGTGCATGAGGGTTTGCTGCCTGAGCTGGAAGGCAAGAAGTAGCCATTCTAAATTCCCGAGTGAGGTGGCAAAATGTACCTTCCTCTGCTGTGTAAATGCTACAGAAGGAAGACGGTAGAGGCAAGAAAACCATCTGTCAAGCTAATTAGTTATTTTAATATGAAATGCTTAGGAAAGGACCCATTGTGTTTAGATCTAAATATCTGCTAGAGTCTGGTTTGAATGCTGGTTACGTGGTGACAATAGAAAACGTCTGGGGTCTGTTAGTGTAAGGACCTGGGTAATTTTCTTGTGTAGTCAGTTTCCTGAAGTATTCTCTTCAATTCTAAAGATCTCAGAGTATAAGAAACTTAATATTAAATAGAAAAAAATTTTTAAGCCAAGCAAACATTATTTTGGATTTTCTAGTATTTGACATCACCTTAGGTTTTGTCCCTCCAAAGAAGGTGTCAGCTGTATACAGGGTGGTTTATTCTTCCTTCATTCAGGAAAATCTCAGTGATATTAAAGTTTAATTCATGTCTTGGATATTCTTCAATATTTAAAACAGAATTCAATTTGAGAATAGTGAAGATCAAGAAGTAAATCCACTGAAACTCAGCCTTCTCACCTGGATTCAAGAAGACATTTTCCTGGCTGTAAGCCACAGTGGGTCCAGCTCACAGTCTGTCATTCACCATCTAACTATGACCCCTTCCGAGACGGATGACGAGCAAGGACAGCTCAATATTAGGTATTACAACACTTCCCTGTATTCTACATGTTAATAAGCTGATGGAGTTATGCTTTTGTCTTTATAAGCATAGGACTTTTTTTGGCTTCTGGTGAGCAAGGTTGAGGGGCTGTAGCTTCTCTGTTAGAAACACTTAACAAGAGATTAAGGCTAGTTTTGAGTCATGTCAAAATACAGGCTAAAAATGCAGATGAAAAATAGGACAAATACCAATAGATGAGGCAAAACATTTTAAGATGTGTTAAAAATTTTAATTCAGCATATACTTACATTCCAGCAGGATTATTGTTAGCCCATGAGAATCTACCACTCTAATTACCCTTATTAATAATTAAAATCAGTTATAAGATCTATTTATATGAGCTTCATTTTGATGTGGCAACTTCAAAATACTTCTTCCGGCCTCCTCATCTTTACACTCTGTTTGGCACTTGACTGGCATTTAGTAGTCTCCTCTATTTTTCTTTGCTAAAGTTTCACTGCCCTCTGACCCTGAGTTTCATCTTGATTTCTGACTGCATCTTTGTCATGTAACAGATTTTAATGAATGCTATTTTCTGTAATGCTAGACCTGTTGTGCAGAAGAGGGCATGGTCTGAGCAGCTCCGGGAAATCCTTAGGTTTCCCTTGTCAAAATTTGGCCCCTCAGTCATGTTCTGATATTAATCTCCAGATTCATTCATTAAAGATCTACTGGTTAGATTTAAATTCTGAAAACCCTTGTCGCAAACAAGGAACCTGTCCTTATTGTATACATAAAACGTGTTCAGATGCAGTCATCAGCTCCTCATCTTTGACTCACAACGCTTACATTTTAAGAAAATGAATTACAGAAATGATATCAGTACCATGCATGTCTAATGAAGACAATAAATTATAGTGAGTTGGAATAAGTTATAACGAGTTGCTGCCAAAATAGGAGTGAGGACTTCACCATGTAGACACCTGGCTTCCTTGTACTATGGAAAATAGTGTCATGTGACAGATAATTGCTTTATCTGTGCTTGTGATTGCAATAGTTTATCTGTCATTGTGCGTGTGTCTGTGTTTATGTGAATTTTGTGTGTATTGTATTGCAATAGGCAGTGCAGCACCACAGAGAAATTGCTTATTTTTCTATTTTGTAAAATAAGTAATGTCACTACTTTTGAAAAAAATCGTCTGTTCACACCCCTTTTCTCCCTTTTTTTACTTTTGTCAGTTCATCTGTGACAGTAGATGGGGTCATAATCAGCCTATGTTGCAATTCCAAGACCAAATCAGTAGCATTGCAGCTGGCTGGTGGCCAGATACTTAAGTATCTTTGGGGTGAGTATTAAAATGCTAGGAAAGCATGTTTATGACTTCTATGGATGTTTAATTTTTGAGAACTTCACTTGTATCTTGTCAGTGCTGCATTGATAGGTCTTGTAATTATCCTGGAAAACCCTAAGCTAGCACATGTAGTTGGCAGGTGTTTTCTGCCTCTCTTTTCTTGTGGTGAATTGGAGCACCCTTATGAGTTTCTAGAATATATTTGAGAGGTAATTCAAATGACATGTCAAGTGTTTTAGCAAGTATCAGTGTGACAGGTTTTTACCAATAGCAGCTCAGCATTTTGTGAACCTCATGTGCCAAACCTGCAGAGTCACCCTCTCTGGCTGTTGCTCCATGGAAGAACCCTGATGGAGTTCCCGTGCGGTTCCCATATCCTTGCACACAAACTGAATTGGCTGTGATTGGAGGAGAGGTAAGTGAACACAGGGCAGAAAAATTTACCACTTAGGGCACTGGCCCAGGATAGAGCATTAGGTAGAAAGACTGTGGGCATTGGAGGTGGACCTGGGTCTCCACTAAATCTCAAGGCAATAAGGAGGAGTCATCCACTTTTCAGGGCCTCAGCTTCTTCTATGAAATAGGATTAAGAGATTGCCTGGCATGTAGTAGTTGACTTCTTTCCTTGGAGGTACAAATTTAAAAATAGAAGAATGCAGTCAGCAAACTTCTATCCCATTGTATAAAACATTCAAAGTTAGTTCTGTGGGAGACAACAGAAATGTAATCTTGAAAATAGTATTTAGTAGATTGTCATTCATCAAATATTAAAATGCCTATAATTGTGGTGGGATACAGTTGTTATAAAAGAAAAGAGCTGTCTGATCCCTCTCTTCTGGACTTTGTGACATATCAAAAGAGGTCTGATTATCCCCTCCGATGGGAAAATGAAGGAAATGAGTAGGGCGTGATGTTAGAGAATAGTGAGGTGCTGGGGACTAATTAGAGAATGGTAGCGCTGAGGGTGGGTGGGGAGACCTGCTTTTGTGGTGTGGGAAAGCTCTCTGAGATGATGTATGTGTGAGAAGTGAGAAAAGAAAGCTCTATCCCTGAAAAGGGAGTGTTCCAGGGAGAAGGGACTGTGGCCACCTTGAGCTTGAAAGGAGCTCAGCTTATTCGAGGAACTGAGTGGAAGCAGTGTGGCTAGACCTCAGTGATAGGGCGTAGGAGGGAGTGTGGGTTTTTCAATTGGACAATGATAGGAAAATTATTAATAATTTTTAATCAGCTAGTAATGTGATCTGATTCATGGTTTGAAAGGTTTTTTTGGCTGCCCAGTGGAGAGTAGGTTGGAAAGGAACGAGAGTGGAAGTGATTGTTGGAGTGGAGGCAGTGAGGGCCAGAAAGGTGATGTATTTGAGGTATATCTAGGAGAGAGAAATGACAGGGCTTGCTGATGTACTGGATGGCGTCATACTCCATTTGGCACTGGACCAATCACATCTTACATACCTGCATGCAGTCCTGATTACAGAGACCTAGATGTGAAATCACAAGTCAATAGAACTGTGTAATAGGAATGTTAGATTCAATTAGTTTGGTTAGAATTGCTTGTAATTTCAGTTTTGTTTATTTTGCAGGAATGTGTCCTTGGTCTGACTGACAGGTGCCGCTTTTTCATCAATGACAATGAGGTATCAAGGCTTGGTTTGGTGCTGGATCCTTTTCACTTTTGGATCCAAGTAATAAAATTAACATTCTCCCTTGCCTCCCTTCCCTTGTTGTAGGTTGCTTCAAATATTACGTCATTTGCAGTATACGATGAGTTCTTATTGTTGACGACCCATTCTCATACCTGCCAGTGTTTTTGCCTGACGGATGCTTCGTTTAAAAGTAAGTTTTCAGTGTATAAAATAGAAAATAGTCCCTCTTTTAATATCTTTTATGCTTGGAAGTCTTGATGACTTTTAAGATCTTCACCTACTTTGGCTTTTTATCATAGAGTCCCAGACTAGAGAAAACCTTTAGAGTTCATTTACTTAGCCTCGAATCTCAACATAATATCTCAGTTAAATCATTCTACACCAGTTAGCAAAGACTTGCAGAGAAGAAAGTCCTTCTGTAAGCAGAATATACTTAAGTTAAACAAAAAAATGTCTAGGAATTGTTATTAAATAACTAGTTTAATATTTTACTTCGAGTTCCCATGTAGATACCAGACTGGCAATATGCTCTAACTTCTTTGTAATCTTCCTTTTGTCACTGTGGCCACCCTCCATTGTACACCTGCAGGGCTCCAGCTTATGGTTGTAGGAAATGGGCTCCATCTTGTCTTCTATTTCGTTTCTCCCCCTACACTCCCCCATTGTGTGTGTGTGAGAGATTCCAAAAATTCCCACTTTCTTTGTTTCTAACTTAGAAACAGAATCGTTCACTAATACAATTGTAGTGTACTGATAGTGCTAAGAAATAGAGATGCTGCCCAGTCTTCCCTGTGTTCTCCAAATCGGTTGAGAAGTTGTGTATGTAAATATGCGTGAGAGCTCTGTGCGAGAGGACAATTTCCAGAGATGAGACTGTTTATCAGAAGGGCTAATGGTCTGAAGGTTGAATGGGAGAGCAAAGGATCCTGGTTGTTAATTGCTCTCTTCTATTTCTGATAATGTGTAGTTTCAGCTGCAGTAATGGAGAGTGGCTTGTCATGACAGTGATTCCTAATGCTTAGCCAACCGTGTCTTTAGCATTACAGGCAGGTCTGAGCAGCAGTCATATGTCTAATGGGGAGACTCTGCGGAAGGTAGAGAGGGGTTCACGCATTGTCACCGTTGTACCCCAGGACACAAAGCTTGTATTACAGGTAAGCTGATTTTTCAGGCTGTGTTGCTGATTGTCAGTAGGAAGTCAATACCAAACAATCTTTCAAATTGTATTTTAGGCTCTCTTATCATTTGTAATAATTTATTATAAGCCTTTTCTTGCTAGGTTCTCTGTTAGCTTTATATAGAGGAGTATTCATACAGGCTCTGCCCAGTAAGGCTAATAAGGAAGCTTTTCTGGAAAGTCAAATATTAAGCCCAACTAGATTCTGCTAAAAGTATGCTTATTTTACCACATTGTGGTAGTTCTCCATATACATCTTGGGTATTTAAATATTTTCTATTTAATTAAAAACATTATTGTTTCAATTTATTTATTTTAAGGTGCCAAGGGGAAACTTAGAAGTTGTTTGTCATCGAGCCCTGGTTTTAGCTCAGATTCGGAAGTGGTTAGACAAGTAAGTACCATGTATGTATGTGACTACTTGCTTATTATTATCACTTATGTGTGAAGATGGTACGTATTAAAGTTGGAAAACCTACTGGAAAACCTTCATTACAGATGTCTTCAATCAGATTCTCAGAGGCTTTTTTTTTTCCCACTTTGATTTTAATACCATATGGTGTAGTAGACATTCTTAGCAGAAAGAATCACGAAGCTTATCATAAAAGACCGGATTTTTCAGCCTAGGAGGGTCCCAATGCGCTTTAGATGTCCTGTGATCCCAGGGAGATTGTGCAACAAACTGTGTCTATGTGCTTACCAGGCAGAAGGCCCCAGGATTTCAGCAGATTTACGGGGTGGGAGTGGGGTGAGGGGTATGACCCAAAAGTGCCAGAGCCTCGGTTGTGAAGGAAATGATCTTTCGTCTGAATTTACATGGAGGAAACTTTGTATCAGAAAGGTTGTTATTAATATTTTCTTAAAAAAAGAAAGTAGACCTACATTCCATGATGATTTTGTATTGTGTGTATGTGGGGATGTAGTCCTCAGCCTGCCGTGATGACTGAATCACACCTTTAAGAAGGTAGATGAATCTGGTACCTGATTTTTTTCATTTAGTGATTTCAGAGTAGAAATTCAGTAGCAATTGTTTGGCATTTGGGCTGTATTCTAATTATAACTGGTTTATATTGTAATGAAAACAGGCAGGGTCCAGGGAGTTTCGTTTTTGTGAAATGCCTTTTTTATCCATGCTCTGTCTCTTCACAGACTTATGTTTAAAGAGGCATTTGAATGCATGAGAAAACTGAGAATTAATCTTAATCTGATTCATGATCATAACCCTAAGGTAACTTTCTAAATTTGCTATTTACTCTGTCTTACTTTAGACTTGAGCTAATGTGACATGAACTAAAATTTTTTTTTTTTTTTGATAGGTGTTTCTTGAAAATGTGGAGGCCTTCATAAGACAGATAGATTCTGTAAATCATATTAACTTATTTTTTACAGAATTGAAGTAAGTATTTTGAATAGTTCATGAGTACCATATCCATAATTTTTTCTCTTCTAGTTAAGGAAGTCAAACAGATAGATAGCCTGAGGAGAATTTCCATTCAGTATTTCTTTTAATCACTATAACTCTTAGAAGCCATATTTACTGGATTTTGCTCTCTTTCCTTTTTCAAAAGTCTATTTAAAACTAAGACTTCAAAGCATGTAGGTCAGAATTATTACTTAACTTTATTTTTAGGTGTTCATATAAAACTATGTTTTTCTTACGAGATTAAAATCAAATGGTGTCTTTTCTGCAAGGATTTTTTTCCCCAACTTTTTCATGAGAAATTTCAAACACAGGAAAGTTGAGAGAATTGTACAGGTCGTCCTGTACTACCATCTAGATTCTAGAGTTCATATTTTCGTATATGCTTTCATACTACCATCTGTGCCTTTCTTCATCATTCATCTATTTTTAGACAAATTTCAAGGTGATTATAGACTTCAGTTTACCTTACCTCTCAATATTTCACTTTGCATAGCATTAACTAGAGTGCATTCTTTGTGTACGAGTTCTCTGCAGGCAAAATTTACCTGTTGTGAAATGTGCAGATCAATAAGTGTACCATTCAGTGAGTTTTGACAAATGTATACTTCTAGGTAACTTGAACCCCTGTCAAGATAGAGATTTCCATCATCTCAGAGAGTCCCCCCAAATTTCTTCTTAGTCCCTGTCCCACCCACTAGGCAACCACTACTTCGAGTTTTTCACCATAGAACAGTTTTGCATGTTTAAGAACTTTATATAAATGGAATCATAGAGTATTAACTTTTCTGTGTAAATAAAGCTTTCTTCCCTTATATATATTATCTTAAGTTCATCCATTTTGCATGTATCACTAATAAGTTCATCTTATTTATCACTCAACAGTATACCATTGTATAAATATACTGCAGTTCGTTTATTCATTCCCCTGTTGATGGACACCTGGACTATACCCAGTTTGGGACTATTGGGATAAAACGTTTCTGAATATTACTGTACAAGTCTTTTGTGGACATGTTTTTATTTCTCAATAAGTTTCTCCATGTTCCCCTGTGTAAACATTTTTATAATTAAACTTTTCCAAAAGCCAGTTTTATTATCTCATCAGCACACTTGGGTTTATGTTAGTAGTTTGAGAGCTGGGACATAGGTTCAGTTAGTGACCTTTAAATACACACTTGTTTTTAGGGAAGAAGATGTCACCAAGACCATGTACCCTCCACCAGTTACCAGCGCTGTCCAGCTGCCCAGGGATCCGGAGGGGAGAAAAGTAGACCTTATCTGCGATGCTATGAGAGCAGCCATGGAGAACCTAAATCCTCACAAGTATGTGTGCCGTCATTAGTTGGCATCTTTTGAATAACAGAAATATATAGTTGTCCTTACTCAGCTTGTTCATCCTTCTTATTCTGGTGTTCTTATAACCTCAGATACTGCCTATCAATACTCACCTCCCACGTGAAGAAAACAACCCCAGAATTGGAAATTGTGCTGCAGAAGGTACACGAGCTTCAAGGTAGAGACTCATTCACAGAGAGTGTTTAATGGGGTCTTGACTGTCCCCAGTCTTCCAGTCTTCCTGAGGTCACACTGATCAGGACTAGTGTCACATCACAGATTTAACACAGGCCATTGGGTTGCCATTTTAAGATCTGTGTCATTTTTTTGAAAGCTATCCTACAAATGTACAAAAGAGTCAAAACTATATATTTGTCAGGAAAATTTGTTACTTTGTCTTTTTGGTTATGTTGCTAGGTATGTGGCTTTTTCCCAGACTGGTTTTGCTCTGTTTTGTTTCCTTACGGACAGGAAATGCTTCGCCTGTTCCCGATGCTGTGAGTGCTGAAGAGGCCCTGAAATATTTGCTGCTGTTGGTAGATGTTAATGATCTATATGATCATTCTCTTGGGACCTATGACTTTGATTTGGTCCTCATGGTAGCCGAGAAGTCACAGAAGGTATGTGGAGTTGCTACATACCATGTTTTTGGTTCTCATTTATGTAATCGTGGTAGTAGGAAATCCTGCTTCTGATAGTACAGTGTTTTGCCCGATGTTGTCCTGTGCACACAGGTTTAGAGGCTGATCAGTGAGTCTCCAGGGCCCACACATCTAGGCTACATTCTCTGCTATAATTCTGTGCTTATCAAAGTGTTTTGATTGTTAGATTGAGCAAGTGAGATAAAACTACTTGATTATTTTTAAGATTATAGGCATATGTGTGAACAAATTCTTCTCTTATCAAGGAAATATAACAAATGATTCATTGTCTAATTTAGGTCTTTATCTTGTAGCTCTTTTTTCCAATGGAAAGGGAGAATATAGAGAATAGAAAGGTTCAGGGCTTCTTGTCCCACTGCAGCATGCTGCAGTCAGAAAGTTTGAGCACCACTAGTCTAAATACATTTTTTATGTCTTTTTTTGCAGCCTCATTTTTACCCCCTATCATTCCTCTCTTTGCTCTTGCCAGAGTGATCTTTCCAAAGAGGAAAATTTGATCTTTCATTCCTCTGCTTAAAATCCTCCATGGGCTCCTCATTGCCCCTAAAGCCCTAATTTTGGTTAAAAACCCTTCCGTGATCTGGTCTCTGTGTGTAACTCCGTTCTCATCTCTTGACATTATCCGTTTGTCTCTGCTCGTAGAAGAAAGGCAATGCTTTTGTCGCTCAGCCACCACTCTCATCCTCTCCATTCACCTGGCTAATTCTCACTCATTTTGGTCAGTGGGTACCAAGGTGGCATCTTCCTAGTAAACCATTCTTGCCTCCCTGCCCCCACCCAGGGACTGGAGGAGATGGCCCCCATATGTGCTTCTACTGTACCCAGCGCCTATCCCCGCATACCAGTCTAACTCCTCTAGTAGACTGTAAGTTTCCTGAGGTTAAAGGTTGGGTTACATTCTTTGTACATAATGGATTCTTACTTAAAACATTGATTTAACATTTTAGCATATAGTTATCCCCTACATCGCATGCATGAGCATTTGATTATTACTCTTGTTTTTTTTTTCCCCTATATTCTTATTTGTATTCATTCTGTCTGCCCAGTGAAACTGAATTAAGAACAGGAAGCATCTCTTCTTTGCCAAGAAAACAACTTTCTTACGGGGCATGTCACAGAGCTGGAAGTGATCAGTGCCAATAAAAACTTGCGGTGACAGGACCTCAGAGTTTTGTGTCCAACTCAGTACAATTTTATCTTTAGCACTTGGTCTTTGCAAATGGAGGGCATGAAATGTCATGGAAACAGTTCCAAGCGCACTGTCTTACACTTTTATGAGAAACTTGAATGTGTTTGTTCAGTGTCTTTTAGATTAGACCCTTGTTTTCCTTATTAGCCTGAAACAAATGGTTATTATGAGATTTAGTTAAGAGGTAGTCATTATTCTTATTGTAAACTTATAACACTCATATATTGAAGCATTTTTTATCAAAAGTTGTATTATATTTGATTTTTATATGATATAACAATGTATTAATATGGCACATATTCTTAAGTTATGTAGCTTTGGACTTATTGCCATAATTAAATTTTTTATTTTTATAAGTAAATATAATCACAAGCAGTTAAGTTCTCCTGTTTATTATTTTTATTTTTAGGATCCCAAAGAATATCTTCCATTTCTTAATACACTTAAGAAAATGGAAACTAATTATCAGCGGTTCACCATAGACAAATACTTGAAGCGCTATGAAAAAGCCATTGGTCACCTCAGCAAATGTGGTAAGTATGTTTTAGTTAGTGTGTTTATCTCTGCTTCAAATTTTCTTTGGAACTAGGCAGGGTATAAATTAAAATAAAATGCTAGTTTAGACATAGACTGATTTTAATTTCTACTCCTGAAAACTTTAGCAATTACCTACGTGCACCTTATTTTCACATATGTTCTGAGAAGCCGAGCATAAAGAAAATGCCTTTTAAAAATTGGAGGAGCTCCACAGCTCAGAAAATAGAGCAGATCCCCTTTGGGTTAAGAATGATCACCTCCTAAATTCACCTCAGAGTCTCAGAATCAAAACTGGTTGATAACTCGTTCTTCTCGTGGTGTTTGCTAACACCTGAGGGAAACTCGGCTTACCTGGAGCAAGTTGCCCACCGGCAGTGCCCTGAAAGGCCCTGTTTTAATTATCAGTGATGGAGCAGAATAAGCACAGTGCCAGGTGTCTGCTCCACCCCTGTCCCTGACCCACATTGGAGCCTCTGGCTTCAGCAATTGTGATTCTTTCCTGAGGGCTGGAGGGGGATAAGGAACAGTCACCTGGGGTGCTTATTAAGTCTTCCTTGAAGAATCTGATTCACTTGGTCTGGGTAGGGCTCAGGTGTATATGTATGTTTAATAAGTTCCCCAGGTGATTCTTGTTACGGAGGTTGAAAAAACTGAGCTGAGTGGTCATTTATCAGGGGTCGTATAAAAATTTCTTTTACGTAGAACTCAGATCCCAGTCAGTGCTTCTCATAGCTCAGAATCTGCAGCGGTGCTCGTTAAAATTAAAATTCCTGGATTCCGTTCTCTATCCAGATCCTCTGATTATGCAGGTCTTAAAAGATCCCTTGTTGATTTTGTTTAGAGAAAATGAAATCCTTATGCTTCCAAAGCCTTAAGCTTGTATGTGTATGAATCTCATTCCTGCAGGACCTGAGTACTTCCCAGAATGCTTAAACTTAATAAAAGATAAAAACTTGTATAATGAAGCTCTGAAGTTATATCCACCAAAGTCGCAGCAGTACAAGGTGTGTGGTGTGTGAAACGAGGCTCTCCTGGTTTCGCTTCATGCCTTAGTTGGAAAGGGGTGAAGATCCTGAGTCCATAACACCATCCTTGGTTTCAAGGTTCATCTGCACATGAATTAACCTCATCTTGAACTTCTTATGTGGGTGAATGGCCCTGACCTTTTCTGAAGAACTTGCCCAGGCCAAAAACCTTGGCATTGTCCCAGGTTCCTGGTGGGAAATACTTGTCATCGTCCACATGGGGCTCCCCGCCTCCATCCTGCCTCCTACAGATCAGCCTCACTACTGCATTACTGATCATCCTGAAAAGTGCAGAGCTTTCCCATTTATTTTAGGATAAAGGAATAACGTTTAGTTTGCTTAAGCAAACATCTGTTTAGCTTTTCTTATATGCAGGATACTTTGCTTATAAGCTAAATGTAGGATATAAGTCTCATAAAAACCCAATAAGCGGCGTGAAGAATTTTCAAGTGAGGAAACAGTTTGCCTAAGGACCTGGGGCTCTGAATCGGCCTCCCTGGGACATGGAGCCTGTGCCGTTAACCACTACTCACCATGCCGTCACCGCCACCATTTTCAGTTCGTTCACAAATTGCACACACCTATCATCTGGCCTCTGATTGCGTCTTCAGCATCAGCTGCCTCTGCCAGCCCTCTGCCTTCCCCTTCCTTTAGCCCCAGTTATCCTTCAAAACTCTGCCAGAAAGCCGTTCCTGGATGAGGTTTCAAACACTGAGCTCCCAGAGTACCTTGTTCTTATCTTGGTGGTGGCATTTATCAACCTGATGATGTACAGATTTGTGTCTCCCACCAGATAGTGGGTTCCTTCAGAGCAGGGACACCATGTTACATTCCTTTCTTTGTTGCTGCCTAACACTGAGCCTAGGGAATAGAGAATTTGGCCAGTGGCTGCCTCTTTGCTCTCATTTTCGTTGTCTGTTCCTCTTTCCTGTTCTCTGTCTGCTTCAGTAACACCAGCCTTCTTGCTGTTTCTTCCTGAGTATTCCATACGCTCCTACTGGGTGGCCATAGTTCTGTGCTCTTGGCCTGGAACACTCTCTAACTCTTCACATGGCTTATTCTCCTTACAGCCCTCTGAAATAGCACTCCCATCACTCTGTGCTTTTACCACTGTTTGCATTACATCATAGACCATATTGTGTTTATAAGTTCATTCTCTCTTGCCACAAGAGCAGGAATTTGGTGGTGGTTCTTGTTATTGTGTGTGTGTGTGTGTGTGTGTGTCTGTGTCTGTTTGCTTGTTTGGTTTTATTTTTTGCATCTCAGTATTATTCCCACTGCCTGTATAGTGTTCACTATTTGTTGAATGAATAAATGGCACATTCTCAGTAAGTTTTTGAATGGAAGAATGATTGAATTCACTGATCAACCATAGGATTTTCCTAAGTAATTCAAGAGTTTCAAGTATAGTGACTGAAACAGCTTCCATTGGAGATGAAAAAATGATTGTCATCCTTTACCACTGACCCTATATCTCCTCTTGTCACAGGACATCAGCATTGCTTATGGGGAACACCTGATGCAGGAACGCCTCTATGAGCCAGCGGGGCTAGTGTTTGCCCGTTGTGGTGCCCACGAGAAAGCTCTCGATGCCTTTCTGGCTTGTGGCAGCTGGCAACAAGCTCTCTGTGTGGCAGCCCAGCTTCACTTGAGCAGAGACCAGCTGGCTGGCTTTGGCAGATCTCTGGCAGGTAAACACTATCATTTAGATTCTCCAAAATGAGAACTTCTCCAAAGGTTTTTCGTTTCTTTTTTTGGTTTTATTTAGCAATTTTGCAAATAAATTTAGGGCAGCATACCATGAGACATTCTTATACTAATAAAAATTGATTTGGAATGGTTTACTAAGTAGAGCAAAGGTTAAAACTGCTGTGACAGGAATCTCAAAATATAATGGGGTAATAAAGAAATTAGTTTCTTTCTCACTCATATAAGGACTGACAAGTGTTTTCATTGTGTGGTTCTGCTGTCTCTTAGGTAGAGAGCTATAGCTGGATTAATCTCCACATCTGTATTCCATTCCTTGGGAAGGGGGAGAAGCCGTAATCATGGGAGAACACTTAACTTTTAAGTTAAAAATAACCTAGAAGTTATACCATCACTTCTCCATCTCATTCAATAAACCTTACATTATGTGGTCATACCTAGTGTAACTGGCCATGTGCCTATCAGAAGGTAAAGATGAATTTTGGGGCGTGGCCATTCAGGTATAGACAATAGGTCATTGGAAACCATACTAGCGATTTTCAGAAATGAGGTGGAAGAGGCCAAATGTGTAAGCATTTGCACTTTGAAAGCAAAGGCAGGTTGGGTGTCTCAGGGTCTCAGGATCGCCTGGACCAGAGGCAAGGCTATGCCAGAGTCTGATTTCTTAGAGTGGAAGAAAGGTAAAGGACTGCCTGTGAGAAGAGGTGAGTAGGGGGCTGGCCCTTTCAGCTGAGCTCTGAAGTAAGTGTTTGACTGGTATATTTTCCCCTTACCATTTTAAGAATCTTAGAAATATTAGTTGTTATTTACTAATCATTATTATGGTTGTTATTATCTCCAAGAAAAAAAGTAGTCCTGAAAAAGTTCCAGATAATACTCTATATAAAAGTCTTTGTGTATCCTCCCTAGTTATTTATACTATTCTTTTTTCCTTAAGATTATAAAAGTGTGTAAGATTATCACTTTTCTATTTCTCGCATTTTCTGGTTATTAGATCTGTAGTCTCTTCAGTAAACCTCAATTTCCAAGCTGAGCTCTTTTTACAAGTTTGAGAATTTTTCATTTTAGACCTTTTAGTTGTTCATTCTGGGTCCTTTGCTACTTCTACTTGCTACTTTAGAAACCTATGTTGTTGGTAATTTGTACCTTCTAGCTCTGTGATCTATGATCTGCTCTTGTGTTTGTTACAAGTCTTAGCTTGCTCCTATGCCTTATGATAGAGTACACTTAGTGTTCCCAGATGTTTAGCAAAAATTGATGAGGCAGTGGTCAAAGATTTTTGAGAAATGTTATATGATGGAGTCACTCCATGTGCACATTAACTTAGTTAATTGATCTAAGCTAGCGAAAGAAAAAAAAGGTAGCTATTTTAGTAGTGGAGGTGACTGCCTATTTTTGTAAGTGATAAAATGGCCTGGAGTTGGCATGAGATGGGAGGCATGAATCTGCCAGCCCCTTAGTCAGCCTCTGGTTCTGTGTGCCTCTCATAGTGTGATTATCTAAATTGGGCTATCCTGAGTGTGATCCTAGTATCTAGACACTACATGACCCCAAACATAGCCAGTTTACCTCCATCTAGTGTTCAACCAAGAAACAGCAGTCTCTTCTTATTAGAGGGAAAAATGGATTAGTGAGAGATGACAGGTCAGTCTGCCCTATGCATGCCTTTGTAAGCGTTTTTCATGGCCAATTTTGACCATACATGATTTTCACATCCTATGCTAAATTTAGATTGTAACTCATTCAAGAAAG